GCAAAGGCTTTCGATTGTGTGGATCATGACAAGCTATGGACAACATTTCTTAATCTGGTGGGTTTAGGATTTTTGTGCTCTTTGTTTAGTTCCTGGAGTTGTTGAATAAGTAGTTGTTCTCTCTGTTTTTGTCATGTAGTCTTTTGTTACTGTAAGTTTCCCATTAAATATTGCTTTCACTTCATCCCTTAAGTTTTGCTATGGTGTGCTTTCATTTTCATTTGACTACAAAGAAATTTGAGATTTCTTTCATTGCTTTCTTAATCTGTTGTTAGTTTAATAGTATACAGCTTAGTTTCCATGTGTTTGTACATTTTACAGTGCTTTTTTTTCTTTTTATGTTTAGCTTCACTATATTGTGATCAGAGAACATACTTTGTATGATTTAAATATTTTTAAATTTATCAATAGTTACTTTACAATCTAACATATCTTGGAAAATGTTTCATGTGCAGTGGTGTAAGATTTACACTGTGCTGTTGCTGGGGTGTGTGTTCTCTATTTGTTAAGTCTAGTTGGTTTATACTGTCATTAAGGTCCTCTGTTTTCTTTGTTGATTTTCTTTCTAGATGATCTAATATTGAAAGTAGTATAATGAAGTCTCCTACTATTTCTCCTTTCAACTCTTTTCTTCCTGTATATCAGTGTTTGCTTTATATATTTAGGTACTCTGATGTTGGGTGCATATATATAGTTATGATCATTAAATCTTCTTGATGAATTGACCATTTTATCACTGTATAATGTCCATCTTTATCTCTTCTAACAGATTTTGTCTTGAAACCTGTCTCTCATTTGGTTATTATTTCCTTAGAATATTTTATGTGTATAATCTTAAAACATGAGGCTCTATTCTAGAATGTATATATAATTTTAAAAAATGTGTTTGTTATTCATTACAGTGTTCACAATAATACTTCAACCCAGAGTGATGTCTCCCAACAGGTAAGACAGTATCAAGCATCTAAAACCATAAAAAGTATGAATTGTGGCAAACAGTAGTATTGCTAATGGGATTTTCATTCTAGATTAGTGATGTAACCTTGAGTAAGTTATGTACATTTTCTTTTTTTTTTTTTAACTGCAAAGTGGTTCAATAATGTCTAACCCTCTGTTATTGCAGTTTTGTGCTCTTTACGTTTTCTGTCTTTGTAAATCCCGGAGAGTAAATAAAGATATGTGTGTTCAGTTAAATTACTATCTCATAGTTGGTTATATAAAATTCAAGCTTTTACTTGAATTGAATTATCTTTGTTCGTTATATGAATAGTATTGCATCCTAGTTGGTGAAAGGATCTTTTTATAGGCATGATACATGATTTGTATAATTTGTGTCTGAAGGCTTGGGGTGTCAGACCTACTGTACCTGTGATGCCTTCCTCCCCTTGTGGTCCTGTGCTGATAGAGATCGAGACTCTTCCAAGGGATCCTGGAGTAGACCTGAACGACAGGAAATGGTTTGTTAACCCCTTAAATCAAAATTAAATGCTAATTCCCTTCCATAACATTACAATTCTATAAATGTCATTGGAAGCCAATTATTCATATTTGTGAGCTGAAAAGAAACATATTAAGCAGTCTTAGAGGAATTGGGGAAAAAATGGATGTGTGAATCAAAAGGGGGACTTCTGTCAGACTGTCATCCTTATTTTGATAAGCATGATCCATAACTAGTGGTTATTTCTATGTTGAAAAAAACTTCTTCCCTAGTAAGTAGAACCTTTTCTTGGGTGGACAAGAGAAGTATTTTTGTCATATGTTATTTCATTAACATGACAATACTACTTTGGATATACATTCTTCATTGAGACCATAAAGATAAAGCCAATAGGAAAACGTAATTACATTCCAATAAAACACTATTTTTTCGAAGAGATAACAATTTGATGACAAAGAAGATAATTAGCTTTTCAGGGTCTTTTTCTAGATGAATAGTACACAAATATGGATAGTTTATGGCTTGTTGGAGTTGATTGTTGGGATTTATCCTTTCCTAAATAAATGTATGTGCCTTGATGGGCTCCTTGGGAATAATATGATTATTTGGTATATTACCTGTTCAAGTGTTGTGTCTGTTTATGGAAAAAGTCTTTCTAATTCTTAGGATTTTCCTGTTGTTCTTAGTGTTTTTAGTACCTGAAATCTAACGAATTCCTGTGGTGATCTCCAGGTTTGGGTCTGCTTTCTGTTCAGCTGGTTCTTCCTTCCTGGTGGTGGGTCAACAGTGTTTGGTGATTGTTTTGAGACTTTGCAATGCATTTTTATTTGCTGCTGTTTTGGCTTAACTAACTTTAAGGTGCTTTGCTCTTGATAAGTAACTATCACTGGTGGATATATTTTTACTTCACTTCCAGATAACTAGAGATTGGTTTCTAAGATTAAGGTGTGTGTATGTGTGTGTTCTGCTCTCTTGTTCCCCCTTTCTACTTAGGAATTGGTGAGGGTACCTTGTGTGTAAACAGTGAAGCTCCTAAATGCCAATTTTTAGCCTTTAACTTTAAACCGTTAAGATGAGTTTTATCTATACTTAAAACACAGCTTCAGCAAACAACTATGTTTTCTCTTAATGTTAGCACTAAGTCCTATTGGGAAGGAAAAACAGTACTCAGATTTTAACCATAAAACAATTATTTTAGTATAAGTTTGTCTTTTAATATGTAATGAGAGTCTTTACTAGTTTACATCCTATTTTAGAACACTAAACCTTTATTGACTTTTAAAATAATTTTCTCTTTTAATGGATAAATCTGTTTAATTTGACTTATTAGGCACTACTCAATTCCTTTGATGCAAGTTTTAGAGAGAGTATTGAATCTGCTTGAATTTCAAGAAAAATGAAACATTCGGAGCTGTGTGCCCTTTCTTTATGTGGCTGTGCTGAAATGGAGTAAAGCAGTGGAACTTACCACTTCCACAGCTTCAGTGTATGTCGACTGAGGCATGGAACTGAATACAGAGCTGACTTGTCTTGGAGCTATGGATTCTCCAGCCTTTATTCATAACGCATTCTGCTTTTCATTCTTTCTGTGTATGTGTTTTGAGTCTCATTAATACTTTAAAAAGACAAACAGTCCTCCTCTAGAATGTGATAGGTTGATAAAATTTGGAAATACTTAATGTATTTCTGGCAGGTGAAATTTGCCTAAAATTGTTTAAATCTAAACCTGTTTGCTACGTGATTCTCTAGTAGATCTTTTCTAGCTGGTGCTTTTTAAATGACATTACTATTTGAGTGAGTGACTTGATATTTCAAAAACTTACAATTATCTAATATTTAAAGTATTACCTTTTTGAGAAGCAATTTGTATATTTTAAATCCATAAATTATAAACAATGACAAAAACAAAACTGAACATTTGGAAAATCTTGACATACATTGGTGGAGAAAATGAACCTAATTTACTTTTCTAAAGTTTTGTTGTTGTTATGTGTGATGGATCAGTTCCGACTCATAATGGCCCTATACTCAAGGTTTCCAAGGAGTGGCTTGGTGGGTTTGAACTGCCAGCCTTGCAGTTAGCAGTTCACTGCTTACCCTGAAGCACCATAGAGATTCTAAATTGAAGATTGAGTTGAATGAATTAGATCTGATAAATATTTTATTTGAAGGGAAAAGGTGATTTGCTGTTTTTAAAAAAGGATACTGGATTTGTTCTGAAGAATCTTTAGTTTCTTTTCAGTCCCCCTGCCCCCCAAAAAAGGAAATGTTCATGTTTATGTTTATTTAGAATGATAATCCTATATAATAGTATATTTTAATAATTTACTATATTTATTAAATATGATGCTATATTTATTTAATGTTATAATGTGATTTGTTATATATAATATTGTAACTTTAGATATCATTTATATTTAGGGTGAATTCTTTTTCATTTTGGTTATATTAAAATCTCCGTGGCCTTTCCTGCCATGTCCTAGCACCTGGGCAGATGTTTTCTTTCTACTGGAGGACTGATCTGGTCTAACCAGAAACCATGCATGTGTCCTTGTTGCACTCTGATACTGCTGTAGCACTATGTGAGAGAAGAGATCTACTATGCTTACTAAACCATTCCTTGGTGGAGGCTTATAATCTCATCACATTATCTGTACCTGTTGAATTTTCTTTTCAGTTCTGGTGAAATTTGATTACAGAATGAATAATAATTTTTTAATTGAGGACATTGATGTAAAAATTACATGGCCTCTCAGGTAGTTTTAAAAAATACTTTTTCTGAATTTTGTTTCTTATGTCTTAGTTTTGTAAAATCACTTAATTTGAGGAATATTATTTACCCCAACTGCCTTTTCCCATATGTGCCCTTGTCCTTATGTAAAATTCTTTAAATTAATTAGATTATGAATTTTTTTCTTCTCATTAGAATCTCATATAACTTTCCTACTTCTTGTTTTAATAATAACATCAGGGACAGATATAGTGCCTTGCTTTCTGTGACCTCACCTAACAGATTCTGAAGACTTGTATATATTTCCATAGTGGCAGTTTCCATTACACATAACTGAAGTTGACTACTCCCTTTGTATTCTTGAATGTTATCATTGCATGGAGTAGATACTCACAGCAGTGTTGCATGCTGGTCACATTGCTGTTTTTCTTTATTACCGCTTACACATCCATTTTCTCCTATTCCTGTGTACTAACTGTGCTCCCTCCCACTCCCCAACCATTTAGGCTGTCTGCTGCCAGTGACTGCTGTCAACGTGGTGGAAACCAGTGGAACACCAGGGCCATGTCCCCACCCCAGACTGCATATAGAAACTACACTGACTCTGTCCATGAGCACAGTGTGAAGAATACAGGAGCCCACCATGCTGGTCATTTCCCTGACCAGTCAGCCATGACTGAGATATGAATGTTAAACCCTTTAGGCATTGTGTCTTTTGTCATGCGCGTTGATGGTGTACATTTTCTAATCTTTATAGTGTATTAGGTCACATTAGGAGAACTGGGGAGAAGTTATTTCATGCTGAGTCACTAGTGCATTACTATTTATAATTAATGCATCTCTGAAATGGAAAAGGATCTAAAGGTGCTGTATTCCATATCATGACAACTGATTTTTTGTTGAGAAAAGTATGTACATCGTTGTAGTTTCAGATAAGTTTTTCATGATTTCAGCATCCTTAACACGTTACTCAGAAGCTGTCTCAGGAGAAGGTTGTGTCTGTGGCTAGGTTACCCATCACCACCCTCGCCCAGGCTGTGCACAGGTGATGGGCAGTGATAGCAGCAGACTCACTGCAGGCACTCAGAAGGAAGTGTGTCCAGGCACACACAGGACGTCAGCCTTTTGCTGTTTTTATAAAACTTACTCTTAAACCCTACACTTAGTCTTTCTAAAGTTTACTCGTTGCCCTCAGTTTAGTGCCTAAGAATTTATAATTTTAATTTAAAATTTTTTTTTGCTTTTTGATAAACACAAGTATTTAAGCTGCTAGAAGTTCTAAACACATTAGTAGTATGATACAGAGAGATCAGTCTAATTACTGTTGAATAGTTAGCTCAAAATGGAAAATGTATTTATTCTTTTCATTTATCTCTTTCATCTTGTGGACTTGGCGGATAACCCAGGTTTGCAGCAGCCTCATAATTTGGCCTTTAAAATAAAATTCTGAAGCTGAACAGTCTCATTCTCGAATGTACTTATTGGATATGCATAATATGAGTTTTTCACAGTATGAAGAATATTCTTATTTTTCATCCTTTATGAACTTCAGAATGAGTTTATCTGAGCTGTTTGATCTGCTTCATATGAGCAGATTACCTGGGAAAAGCTCATTTCAGATGTAATGGTACATGATATAAGGGAGGCAGTTCTTCCATATAGCTTTGTTCAAATTTAAAATTCATTTAACGTAATTTTTAACTATGCTTATGTTTATTTGAGGATATTTTGTATTCTGGGGATTTCTGATACTTCAAGATAATGAAGCTACATTATAACCAATCCATTTAACTTAATCTCACGGTCAGCAGTTCCAAACTACCAGCTGTTCCTCAGGAGAAAGAGGAGGTATTCTACTCCCTAAAGGTTTACAGCCTCAGAAACCCTGTACAAGGTCGCTATGAGTCGGAACCGATTCTACGTCATACAACAACAACAACAACAATTTACCTCAGTATTACCCCGTCAATAATCTCTGCTAGACAAACATAAAGGTTTCAGAAGGTGTTATTACTAGACTGTTGGTTGCAAATATAATCCAGTTTGTCCATAGAAGATACAAGTAAGCAAACAGAGCCTAAAGAGTACTTAGGGAATGAAATTTCTAAGCATATTTTAACTTGTGTTTTGATTATATTCATACACAGAAGTCTGCCCCCTCTTATCCCCCATAGGATTACTTTCCAAGACCCTCAGTAGTAGTAGTTAAGTGCCATTGAGTTAGTGTCGACTCATAGCAGGCCTGCATTGGGTTTCTGAGGAGTATTTGTGAGTTTGAACTGTGAACC